GTAGCACTAGCACTTCCCCAAAGGATCCTGGAATAGGGTTGTTTCCCTAAACTTTTAAGTTCAGATAATTCCGTTGTTACTGAAAGTGATCCAAGAACATGGGAAAGAAAGGAACATTTTTGAATTATTTTGTTAAACTAGTATATATTGATTGTAAAACTCATCAAAGGGACACCAAAAATGAAAACTAGCAGTTCTTAAATGTAGTCAGCAAACCTATTGATCTCACTCTGATACGTTCAGGGAGTCTGTATGGGCAAATTATTCATAATAATATAATGAAATTATTTGCCCTTTTGACTGCGTTAACATTTGCACTGCTGGTTCAAAACTAATAGCAGTATCAGCACAGCGCCTTAGCTCGAATCAAGGCAGAGGCAGCTAACTGTACTCTCCACTGCTCTACACTCGTGTTTAAAAAAAAGCCAGTTGTGCTTCAAAATGCCCTTGATGAAGCAATAATGACTGTTAATTTTATTAAATGTAGATTTCTGGGTATGGTTTTCTTAATATTCTGTGGGAGGCAATGGGAAGTACGAAGAACACATAAAGCACTCCTGCCACAATCAAAGCATAAGGCTGTTTAGAGGAAAAGCACTTGTATGATCTTTGGAAGTGGGAGCTGAACTAGCTGCTTTTTCTCATGGAAATTGCTTAATACCTGTGAAGGCAGGAAATGCTATTCAGCTTCACTTTGAGTTACTCCCCTGGAATGTGAATGAAGGACAGAAAACTAAGAAAAGAAACTCTACAATTACACATACTTATTGAATTCATTAGCTAGATTCACTGCATGTTTTCATGCAGTTGCTTTGCAGGGTATAAGAACATTTTAGTAAATTTCTAAATACATTGTATGTCTTAAATTTTGTGGATGAAATGTATGTATATATTTAGAGCCAGAAGAAAGTTATTTTAATAAATATTAACAATTTCAGAAACTTTATCCTGTGATACATAAAATAATGGCCACTCCTGCCAGAGAAGCTGTCCTCCATATTTTCTCCACATAATATTAATGTTCAAACTGTGCTCAGATATCAGATATGTTTAGCTTTCAATATAAACATTGGCTGGTCATTTCATACTGAAATTAAGAATTAACATGTTCACATATCTGTGAATAGTTTTACTTCACCATGTTGCCATCAATCCAGGCACACAAAGCTCTTCCTGAACTTCCTGGTTATAGAAGAGTATGCTGCTCTGAGAGTAGCCAGGGGGCCTACATGGACAAACCACCCTCATAGGGGGCTGCTGTGGGGAGACTGAAAATGGGTGTTGGTGCTCTGTTAGGATTTTGCTTTGTGTCTTAGTAGTCTTGAACCTCCAGGTCATAAAGCAAATGATTCCTCTTGTTTTCTGGATTCTCAGTCTTTAGGGTTCTAAGTTTTCAGATATATGAAAATAGCTCAGTAAGTGATTTGACTCTCATTTATAATAATTCTAAGTCCATCACTTTATAAATAGAAACTCGAAATTCTGCAGGCATCAGGGACTTCCCCAAACTTACCCAGTAAGGCACAGCCCAAGAAGAAACCAGAATTTACGTATTTAGAGCAAATTATTATAACAACCACATACCACCCCTTTATCCACCATCTCGGGAAAGCAAGTATTCCTATCCTTACAATACTCAACTTTTGAGGAAACAATTATATATGTATGCACTGCATGTGTACTACATATAGTATACAGATATATTTTTTAACTGGAGAAGGTCTCAATTTAAAAGCTTGAAGTGCTTATCAATCTCATAAAAGGAGCAACTCTGTTTACTCATATGCAAATACTATATGATAGCAAGTTCGGCCTAAGGCCTGTATGTGATGACTAATCATAACTTCAGAACAAACCTCCTCCCTAACTCTCTAAGGAAACCTGCTCTGTGGTTTTACATAAGCTGAAATCCATTTTCATGCTCCAGTTTCTCTCATGTCTTTGAAATAACAGAAGGAAAAGAACCCAGTATATATAAGTAGTTTGAGAGCTGAGAAAGATAGCATATGGCAGTGGAAATGTAAGTGTTGCTTTGATTTTGGAAAGAGAAGTGAGAAGGAGTTTTCTTGAGTCAAAGCTCAATTCCACCTGAATGAGGCGATTTATTTTTATGCCACAGAATGAACTTTGTGTGGGTACAGATTTATGGCAAATATACAAACATCTGCACAGATCTCATTAGAGGTTTAGAGAAACACCATTTTCCCATGACAGAAATGGTTATAGATGCAATCATAATAGTATTTTTATTTAATGCAAGTGGGATTTTTTTTCACTCCTAAAAGCACAAAGCATTTATTAAAATGAATTAACTTATTTCCGATGAACTTCACAACATAAAAAGATAGATAGGTAAATGACAAGTTAGCTCAAAATGACGGGCTTAAAATATAAATGGAATAGAGCTCTAAGTTTATCACTTTAATTTAAAACAATCAAATCAAATAAAGAGAATCTGCGTCTTCCAGTACCTCTTTATAAGTTTTCTATTCTGCCATCTAAGTTTTGTAAAACGTTATAAAGTAAAATTTAAAAGCCACTCTCTGAGGCTGCTCCAGCACTCCCCAATAAGCTGTTCAGATTCTTGATTTAAAACATTCTTTCCATCCTGGCTTTCAAGAGAAAGAGATACCATCATCAACACATGTGTGTTTTACAAAATCCCTTGTTCAGTCTTGACTCATTTTAGTGTTTTAAAATTGTGCATATGAACTTTTACTATCACATGAATAACCCACACCTGAATGGGCTGGAAAAAAATCACTATTTTACTTTTATTGCTACCCTAAAGGAGATCTGTCTGCTTAGTGCAGCCCATAGAAGGAGCACTCAACTTCACCAAGTAAAATTATGCCAATATTGTGCACTAGGGTCCAGCAAATGTGTCTGTGGCTGAAAGCATGGCATTAATACCATTTTTACCCATGGTGTCATGGTATACGAAAGCATAAGAATCCATCATAACTTGATCATGAGAATAATCTACAGATCATCAGGCTTTACCTATCTGTGGATACCAATTAAGTCACCTTAACATTAATAGTGAGTATTCGGTAAAGGACATGTTCTTGTTTCTGCTTACAAAGAATCTCAGCTATCTCCACTACAAAGTTACCCCAATTCATCGAGCATTTCCAGGAAACCCTAAGGAGGATTCTTATGTGCTTCCTAAAGTTAGACTTTGCACCATAGCCACCACATGGCATCTACAATATCTGCTTTGCTTTCTCATTGATATCTTCTGCCTATAAAGCCATGGGGAAAAATTCACCGTTGCTACTACTGACTGTGGCCCTCATAACAATGCAGAGCCCTTGCCAAAGATGCTTCCAATGGCACAGTCTTTAAGATCCACAGCAGCGTGCCTTCTATGTGTTTTGTTCTCCACCCTGCATTCAGCATCTACCACAATGCTTGACAGAGAGCAGACATTCAATACCCAAGGAATAAAATCGATTTTCAAAATTAGGTGCTTTTCCTAAATCAGCAAAATTCTTAAATGAAGTTATTTTGTCCCTCTCCACAAGTTATATGACACACTGGGAATTTGTTTTCCATTAGAGTAAGAAAGACCATAGTTCACCAACCCTGGGTAAATGCAGTGATGCACTAAATCATTTTTAACAAAGCACCAGCATGACCATTTGGTGGGGTGTGCTCCCTGCATTCCCTCATGCTCTATTGCACAAATATATGTATGTTCCTAAGCTTCTCTATGTGACCTTGGAATCTTTCACCTCCTTGGGTCATTTGCCCTTTTACCAACCTTCACATTTGATTAGCCAATTTGTAACTTTCCTACAAGTTTATTTATCTTAAATTTTGCATTCTCAAGGAAGTTTTTGTGACCTTTTATGCCCTTCCATTGTGCTCCCATTAACACTCTCTGTTTGGCAGTATCTTAACACTCACCACATGGTGGCCCCACCACTCTCCTGTCCTGTATCCTCCTCCAGACTCTAGACAGTAGACTATGTTCTTTGAAGGCAGTGAATGCTTTCTAATTCACCCTTGTATCCCCAGCATCTCGAATGAAGCTTAGCAGCTCCTTAGTGTTCCATGAATATTGAGAATGACCTATAATGAATCATATAAATATAGGAAATACTTCTTATATATTTTAAACATCTATAAGGCACTTAACAAAGTTGAAGATGATTAATTTAATTAGTCATAGGTAACCATATTGATTGAGCCCTGTTCAATTAGAAAGTCACTTGCTATTACCTCTGGCTGGTCAATATGAAGTGAATTACACCCTTGAACTAGTTTGTTAATACCTATTTAACTGCTATTTTAGCTCATTTTACATCCCAGCTATTTTTTTCTTGTGTCCGATGTAATTCACGTGAAGCGGCTTCATTTTACTCAGTCACTATTGCTTTCATGTCATTCATTCTTTAAACATTTGTTTATTGATTAGGTATTGTGTGCCACCAGATACTCAAAGTACTAGTAATACAACAGTGAACAAGACAAAGTCTTTACTTTCTTGGTAGTTACATTCATGTTGACGAAGGTAGACAGTAAGCAAATAGCCAACATATCAAGAATACAATAAGAATATGAAAGTGCCAAGGTGAAAATATATTAAGGTGCTATGTTAGTGAAACACCAAGGGACTTCAGTTTAGTTAATCAAAAAGTTTTCACTGAGGTTTGAGTTGAGACCTGAATGGCAAGAAAGAGTAAAGAATGGGAAAGAAGCTCTAGGGAAACAACTTTCTAGCTGAGGAAATAACTAATGCAAACACCCTAAGTTAGGAGCCCGCTTGGCATGTTTATAGAAAAAGAATGTCTTTCTTCCCTCAATTCTCACAATTTTAAGGTGCGGTATGCTTGTCTCTTTCATTTAAATATCTGTGGATGATGCTCGCCTGCCTTCCCGCTCCCTTGCTAGCTCGCGCTTTCACTCACCCTCTCCTGGAGGATCCAGGGGCCTCTGACCCCAGCCTGCGGCTAGGAACGGAGGCAGAGGCTGCGGCTCAGGGGAAACGAGGCTGCAGTGGTGGTGGTAGGAAGATGCAGGGCGAGGACGAGCAGCAGGAGCTAACTAACGCTGAAGACCTGGTCATGACCAAGTATAAGATGGGGGGTAACATCGCCAAGCGGGTACTTCGGTCCCTGGTGGAAGCATCTAGCTCAAGTGTATCAGTACTGAGCCTGTGTGAGAAAGGTGATGCCATGATTACGGAAGAAACAGGGAAAATCTTCAAGAAAGAAAAGGAAATGAAGAAAGGCATTGCTTTCCCACCAGCATTTCAGTAAATAACTATGTGTGTCGCTTCTGTCCCTTGAAGAGTGGCCAGGATTATATTCTCAAGAAAGGTGACCTGGTAAAAATTGACTTTGGGTCCGTATGGATGACTTCATCACTAATGTAGCTCATACTTTTGTGATTGATGTAACTCAGGGGACTCAAGTAACAGGGAGGAAAGCAGATGTTATTAAGGCAGCTCACCTTTGTGCTGAAGCTGCCCAATGCCTGGTCAAACCTGGAAATCAGAACATGCAAGTGACAGAAGCCTGGAACAAAGTTGCCCACTCATTTAACTATATGCCAATAGAAGGTATACTGTCACACCTGTTGAAGCAGCATGTCATCGATGGAGGAAAAAAACATTATCAAGAATCCCACAGACCAGCAGAAGGAGGACCATGAAAAAGCTGAATTTGAGGTATATGAAGTACATGCTGTGGATGTTCTTGTCAGCTCAGGAGAGGGCAGGGCCAAGGATGCAGGACAGAGAACCACTGTTTCCAAACGAGACCCCTCTAAACAGTATGGACTGAGAATGAAAACTTCACGTGCCTTCTTCAGTGGATGGAAAGGAGTTTTAATGCCATGCCGGTTACTTTAGGAACCTTTGAAGACGAGAAGAAGGCTCAATGGGTGTGGTGGAGTGTGCCAAACACGAACTGCGGTAACCATTTAATGTTCTCTATGAGAAGGAGGGTGAATTTGTTGCCCCGTTTAAATGTACAGTTCTGCTCATGCCCAATGCCCCCATGTGGATAACCAGTGGTCCCCTGGAGCCTGACCTCTACAAGTCTGAGATGGAGGTCCAGGATGCAGAGCTAAAGGCCCTCATCTAGAGTTCTGCAAGTCAAAAAACCCAGAGGAAAAAAAAAAGAAGAAGAAGGCCTCCAAGACTGCAGAGAATGCCACCAGTGGGGAAACATTAGAAGAAAATGAAGCTGGGGACTGAGGTGGGTCCATCTCCCCAGCTTGCTGCTCCTGCCTCATCCCCTTCCCACCACACCCCAGACTCTATGAAGTGCAGTTCTTCTCCACCTAGGATTGCCAGCAGAGCAGGGGTCCCCCTGCCCACACCCCAGTTCCCCAACCCACTCCCTTCCAACAACAACCAGCTCCAACTGCCTCTGGTCTTGGGAGGCGAGGCTTCCCAACCACGGAAGACTACTTTAAATGAAAAAAAGAAATTGAATAATAAAATCAGGAGTCAAAATTCATCGTCTTCAGGCCCTTCTTTCTAGCCTTTTCTACGACCCTCTGCTTGGTCAAGGTTTGTGACCCTACTACAGAACGGGGCTAAATTAGCCACCACCACTGAAAACTCAGCCGAATGTTTTTATACCATTCTAATGTTAGCATTTTCCCACCTGTTTGGGGCTTTTTACTCTTTTTTACATTCTCCCCAAGTATTTTATCTGGCTTCAAAATTAGGAAGATTATTTTCCAGACTTTTTTTTTTCAGTGTGGCTGATTCCTCATCTGATTTAGGCTGTCCAGTCAGGCCCCTCCCATTTGAGGAGCTGGAGCCTTCATTTATGAAGCGATTCTCGTCTACGCAATGGATCCTTATTTGTCAATCTTTTTTCTTCCATTTTCACAAAGCTGTAAAGAAATCCATCTCAACCTTACCCTTTTCTCTGGAGTCAGTGGGGTCTTCCCTCACTCCATTTTACACAAACCTGAGCTGGAAGTTCAACTGTTTTGTTCCCTGTTTGAAATATTGTGATCTCCCTCTCTTGATAGAAAAACCAAAAACAAGAGGAGTAGACTGACTGGAGATACAACTCCTTGCTTTCTGAAGCTATGGACTTGGATTAAATTGCTGGGGGTTTGTAGGGAAAGGTGACAAATTTCAGTACCTGTGGCATTCTGTCCCAGGAAACTAGGGCTCCTACTAACTTATGAGGTTTTTAAACACATTGAAAATGACATGACATTAAAATAAATTTGAATTTGCTCATAAAAATACAAACTAAATATCTGTGGATAATAATAGATATAAATAAAATAGAAATGGCCTTATCTATAAAATGAAATTTTACTTGCTTTTATTTAATTAAAAAAAAGAAAAAAAAAAAAAAAACGAGTTTCTGGCCGGGCACGGTGCCTCACATCTGTGATCACAGCACTTTGGGAGGCCAAGGTGGGCAAATCACAAAGTCAGGAGATCGAGAACAGCCTGGCTGACATGGTGAAACTCTATCTCTGCTAAAAGTACAAAAATTAGCTGGGTGTGGTGGTGCATGCGTGTAATCCCAGCTACTTGGGAGACTGAGGCAGGAAAATCGCTTAATACAGGGAGTCAGAGTTTGCAGTGAGCCAAGATAGTGCCACTGCACTCCAGCCTGGCAACAGAGTAAGGCTCCATCTAAAAAAAAAAAAAAAAAAAAAAAAAAAAAAAAAAAAAAAAAAAAAAAACCACGAGTTTCTGAGGAGAAATCATCAATCACAAAGGCTGAGGAATTGGGCAAGTGGCCTCAAACCTTTTTTTACTGATACATAATGATGGTATACATTCCTGAGGTACATGCAATATTTTAACCCGTGCATACAATGTGTAGTGATCAAATCAGGGTAATTGGGATATACAATGCCTCAAATGTTTACCATTGCTTTGTGTTGGGAAAATTCCAAATCTTTCTTTTAACTGTTTTGAAATGTACAATAAGTTATTGTAACAGTAGTTTCCCTACTGGACTATCGAACACTGGAACTCAACTCTTGATCTATGTGTTGCACTTGGGGATTTTATAATTAAAGCTCCATTGCTACAACACAGAGAGCACCCAAGAGTTTGCTGATCACCTTTAAAACTCCAGTCCAAATGTAGGCAAAATTCCTTTGTGTGCTTTCCTTTCATACTGTTGAGATAGGCCAGCATGACTAGATGTGTTCTCAGAAGGTTGGTATTGCCACTAGACACCAGGCTGGCCTCTGAAACAGACTGCCTCTGTGCAGATTGTTTTCTTCTTTGTTCCAAATCTGAGCTAAAGCTATCTCTTGCCTTGTCACCAACAAATTCAAAACATTCTTCCCTCAAAAAGTACCCACATTAGCTTGATTTGAAATTACCAGCAACATTAATGTAATTTAAGAGACAGACTTGATTCAGAACTAATGGGCAGGACTGTGCTAAATGACACAGTAACTTGGTTCCACCCACTCTATCATGGCCATTCGATGTGACCTTCCTCACTCAAAACCTTATTATAAAAGAATTACTTTCTCAGCTTTCTCTGCTGATAGAGTCTAAGTAGCCAAACACATTCAAGTTATCAAAATGCATATGAGTTCATGTTTTAGCCAATTAATTTATTTATAAAGCTTTGGTCTATTAAATCTTTTGTCCAAAGTGACAAAAAGGAATATAAGGGTGAAGATGAGCTGTACTTCCAAAAGGATATTCAAAACCATTACCTTCACTAGGGATAATTTTCCCAAACTAATTGAAATTTGAATAGAATTCGAGTTGAGCAAACAGGAACAAAGAAAACGGTGGCAAATAATATGATTTAAAAATGGGCAAAGTGCCTGTATAGATATTTCTCAAAAGAAGAAATACGAACGGCCAAGAAGTATGTGAAACAATGCTCAACATCACCAATCTTTGGGGAAATTAAAATTAAAACCACAATGAGATATCACCTCACATCTGTTATCTAACATATAAAAGATAAGTGTTGCTGAGGGTGTGGAGAAAAGGGAACCTTTGTGCACCGTTGGTGGTAATTAACAGCCATCACTAATCTTGGGGAAATTAAAATTAAAACTACAATGAGATATCACCTCACATCTGTTATCTAATATATAAAAGATAAGTGTTGCTGAGGGTGTGAGAAAAGGAATCCCTGTGTACCCGTTGGTGGTAATTAACAAATTAGTACACATTATGGAAAATAATATTGGGGTTCTCAAAAATTGTAAAATAGAATGACCATAAGATCTGTGCAATCTCACTACTGAGTATATATTGAAAGGAAAATAAAATCAGTACCTCAAAGAAATATATGCACTTCCGTGTTCATTGCAGCATTTTTCACAAAGGCCAAGTGATATGAATCAACCCCAAGCATCCACAGACAGAGATGAAATGGATAAAGAAAATGATATACATATACAATGAAATAATATCTGGTCTTAAAAAAGAGGGAAATCTTGCCATTTGCAACAACATTGATACAACTGGAGGACATTACGCTGAATAAAAATAAGCCGGGCCCAGGAAAGGCAAATTCTGTATGATCTGTCTTGTATGTGGAATTTTAGAACGTCAAATTAATCAAACAGAGAAAGGCGATTAAGTAGAGGCTAGGGATTGGGAGAAATGGGGAGATGTTGGCCGCGTGAAAAGGCCAGCTGGTGGCGCCTGTAGTCCTAGCTACTCGGGAGGCTGAGGCAGGAGAATGGCGTGAACCCGGGAGGCGGAGCTTGCAGTGAGCCGAGATCCGGCCACTGCACTCTAGCCTGGGCGACAGAGCGAGACTCCGTCTCAAAAAAAAAAAAAAAAAAAAAATGCTATGGTTTGGGAGAAATGGGGAGATGTTGGTCAAAGCGTAAAAAGTGTCAGTTATGCAGAATAAGTAAGTTCAGGAGATCTGACATACAGCATGGTAACTATAGTTAATACTGTATTTTATTTACTTGAGATTTGCTCAGAAAGTAGATCTTGTGTTCTCACAACAACAAAAAAAGTGGTAACTATGTAAAGTGATGAATCTGTTCATTAGCTTGATTGTCATAATCACTTTACTGTGTACATGTATATCGAAATATCCTATTTAATACAGTACATACATTCATTTCTGTCAATTATGCCTCAATAAATCTGGACAATTTTTAAAAACACAGACAGAAAGGTAGAGGCCTCCAATTTGTAAAAACAATATTAATTGAAGACGAAAATGGGTGTAAAAGAGGCAATGAACTCAAAAGCGAGAGAACTTGGGAGTGAAAGCAGGGGAATACAAAAGTCAACTTCCTTCTCTTCTTCCTCTTCCCGTCTTGCTCTCCTTTCCCTTCTCTTTGCTTCACTCCCTCTTCTTTTCTTTTCTTCCCTTTCCTTTTCTTCCCTTGCTAAATAACTTAATCCAAAAGCTATTAGGGGGGGTAGAGCAAGGTAGACATTGGTAAGTGGGGGAAGAGGGACCCAGATCAGTGTTAGAGCTTGAGAAGGTATGGAGGCTCACACAGAGGGGCAGCCTAGCTCAGAATGTGACAGCCCGAGGGTGTGAGGAGAATATTAGAGTAGGAGAGTGGTTCAATATGGGGTAGTAGGGCCTGAGCAGAGGAAGCATAGCATTTGTGTGAGGTGAGATGAGGTGGATATGGCCTAAGATTAGTTACATATGGGGAGATTGATGAAATAAGCAAATATATTAAGGACTATGAAATCCAAGATTTTTGCTGTTGCAGATAGGAGTTGCAATTATGGAAAAGGAGAAACCTAGAATAAATCTTGTGGCTTTGGTTTGGAATTAGAGGTATTGGTGTGAACATATGATTTTCAATATATATGGATAGATGTATAAATGATGATGTAACTGTGTGTGGCAGATGACACCCGATCAAGTTTATCAAATTTAATGTCCCTAGAGTTACTATAATATAGTACAAATAAAAATAAGGTGCAATGAAAACACTTCTGTGGTATTTCTGCCAAAAATTCATAACTCAAGTCTAATCATGAAGAAACCTCAGATAAAAACACATTGAGGAATGTTCTAAAAGATAACTGACCTGTAATCTTCAAAAGCACCAAGGTCATAAAAGCCAAGGACAGACCAATGCCAACCTGCTCCCCAATGAGAGAGACTAAGGAAACATGACAGCTAGATGAGCATGTGATACTGGACCGGATCATATGGTAATAAAGGATATGACTGGAACACTTGGTAAAACTTAAATAGAGTCTGACGATTAGATGACAGTAATGTCTCAGTATCAGTGTTAATTTCATGATAAATGTTAGTGTTTATGTAGAACCATGTCTTCATTTGTAGGAAATACATACTAAAATAGTCAGAGGGGATTAGATACCATATTAGCAACTTTCAAACAGTTCAGGGGGACAACGATTACCATTTGTACTGTGCTTGTGAATATTATGTGGGCTTGAGATTCTTTCAAAATAAAAAAATGAGCAAATACAAGGGGACAGGTGTAACTGGATCCTACTGTTTTTCACTGCCCTATTTATCTCCCTTCAAAGGAGACAC